CTATAATTATGGTGACTCAGCTAATCTCCTAAGCAGGGAAATTATTCACATCCCAGAGGACAGGAGTCAACCAATGTATATTGTACTAAAAGGAAATTCACCAAAGTATGAAACATCTCCCATGCTTGCAATAGAAGCCTTACAATGAAGCTATCCTGGCAGGTGACACTGACCATGAAGAGGCTCTGCACATGGTCTCAAAAGTAACTTCTGGGAGCCTTAACTAACTTTCTTGTATATAACAAGACATTAACACAAGTCTCACTTTAACTTGGGCTTAAACATCTTGCACAAATTATAAGCAATAAGATAGGTAAACATTACTGAAAATTTTGGCTAGTCAAAGGGGCCTCCAATTACTACACTGGCCCCTGCTGGCATTCTGCAGCTATACCTGTAGCGTACCACTATTATGGCTCATTGGGGCCAAAAAGCCACAGTGACACCTATGAATGCTCAACACAACTCTTCTAATTTCTTAACTAAAATTGTCCTTCAAAGCACTGAAACTTCTATCTTTTTATGGCTAAGCTGGAAAAACTTGTGTGCTTATAAATAAAGCATGTTGCCTTTAGACAAATAATTCACATTAAAGAAAAAAATATTAAACCAAAAAAGTCAGATTTATAACCTCCTGACTGCCCAAAAAGGAGAGGCTACATTCCTAAGAGGAACAATGTTTGTATGCCAACTAGTGTTAAATAGTGAGAGATGCAACATGAAAACAAACTTATTTGCCTGTAAGATTCACCAAAAACTATAAATCATGAGGATCTTGGTCAGGGATCTGAAATTGGGCATCCTGATTACTTTCCTCAGCAAGGCCAATTGCTAATGTTTCTCGTATCTCTATTATTCAGACCATGAATACTTAGTCTGCTGGTCAAATTTGTTTCCTTTCACGTGACAGCTTTAAAGCTACAGATGGTGGTGTAGGCAGATTTACCAACAGATACACCTCCTGATTTCTACTCAGGACTCTCACATAGACCACACAGTGGTATCTGTACCGCTGCCCTGCTAGAACCCCCTCTCAGCAAAGAAGCATCTAGGGGGCTGGGGATTTAGCTCAGCAGCATAAACGCCTGCCTTGCAAGCAGGCAGTCGCGAGTTCGATCCCCAGTACTAATAAAAAGGAAAAAAAGACCAAAAAAAAAAAAAAACAAAGAAGCATCTAGAACTTCCATGCCCCTATACCCATCACAGCAGTTACAGTCACCACTGTGGGGAGTGAGGATATATAAAAGAGATAAAGGGAACAAAGGGCAAGACTCTGAGTAAAATGCAGGCCAAAACCTGGATAAACTGAGATAAGCCTCAGGAAATTATAGTGCAAGAGACAAAGATCTGATTGCAGAGCAAAGGACAAAGGACTAATAAAATTTGCTGACCACAAGAAGCTGGCAAAAAGGGGCAATTACAAACTTGCATTTTCACACACTCATCTTCCCCTTTTAAGCACCAAAAGCCTCATATAAACTCCTAGATTGAGGTGCTTCCTTGGCATCTTCCTTTGGAGCCCCCTAAACTACTAAGGGTGTGTCTTTGTTCTTTCTAATTAACAACACCCAGTTCCCTGCCACGCAGCTGTCGTGTTGGCTTCATTCTTCCATGCCCCTCAGGACAGAGCCCAGAGAGCAAAAACTGGTTCCACCAGGAAGTTGGTTATGCGGGACTTGAAGATGTGAAACAAACACAGTGAACTTCTCTAGTTAGCTAATGAGGAAACAGACTCTGACCTCATCTCCACAGCACTCCTGCACTTATTTCTTGTGGAAAACATTCGTTGCCCCGTGGTCTCACTCCTTTCTGTACTGTAGGCTAGAAAGTTCTTGTTAGTTTTCTGAGGCAGAAACCTTTAATACACAGGTGTGATCTCTAGCCTGTCTGCAGAGCATCCCAGGACATCCCACCAACCTGAGTTCTTCCAGACCTACAGTTCCTGCACATGAGGTGCAGCCTTAGTCTGCATATCCCCTAGTAAGACTGCAGCTCCAGCCCTGGCTAAGTGCTCTGAGTGACAGGCAGAAACCGCAGTGAGATCAGCCTCCCACTAGCCCCCTGTATGGGGGAGGGGGACAGGAAGGGAGAGACTAGAGTTGGGGTGTGCCCTACCCACCCAGACCTCACTCCTGGAGACCACCTCTACCAGTCCCACCTATATGCTGGTGTAAATCCTCCAATGCTCCGGTATTATGAGGCTGTGCTCTTCAAGCCGCATCTGAGAAGCCTGAGTACCTTGACCCAGAAGCAGAAGAATTTGGACCCCGGAGGCCTGTGGCTTTTCTCCTCCTGGAGGGTTCAATTCTGTTTCCAAAACCTAATGGAAAGAGTAGCCTTTTCTAGGGACACCTTCCCTCTGAATGTAATGGAAACTGCTGTGAAATCCATATTCCCAGACAATTTTTTTTCCTTTTTCCTTTGTCTTTTTTTTTTTCAGTGCCAGTAATCAAACTTAGGGCCTCACACTTGCCAGGCAGGCACTGTGCTGCTGAGCCATATCCCTGGTCTGCTCCTTTGTCATTTTCTGTTGTTATTGTTGATGTTCATGTTGTGGCACTGAACCCATATCCTCACAGACAATTTTTCAGTTAATCTAAAATGTCTGTCTGCCTGCTGGTAGATAATAAATATTACCTGGGAATTTCCAAATGAATGTATACTCCATTTATTTCATCTGCATGTAGTAGATTAAGCTTGTGAACTGCGTTATTCAAATCCTCTTTATGCTTATTTACTCTTCCTGATCTGCCTGTTGCCTATCTTTTGAAAGAAGTGCTTTGAAGTTTCTATAATGAGTATAGAGCATCTGTCATTTGTGTGTTTTGTTTTTGTTTTGTTGTTTGTTTCCTGTATATGCAACAGGCTTCAAACTCTTCAGCCTCTTGTCTCAGCCTCCCAAGTGCTAGGACTAAAGCTATGTATCATCACACCTGGTTTTGCTTCCTGTATTTGAGTTCTATTTTTTTTAAGCTATATAATTAGATAGTTCATTGAATGACATAAAATTGTAGTTATCAGTGTATAATCAGTTCCTAATTATAACATGTGAAGGGTTATGACTGTTTTGCTTTCTTACCAAATTTAATAACTCTCTGCTCTTGTAAATCCTTATTTGTCTTGAATTCTGGTTTAACTGATATTATTTTCCCATTGGCTCACTTTTTTTTAATGGTTAACTGGCACTATTCTTTCTTCAAACTGACTTAAATAGACTGATAAAATCCTGTATTGACAGATGTCTAAAAGGACCCTTCCAGACACTAAAGGTGTCTACGACCACACTAACCTCAATGCATCCAATCTCGTCAGATACTACTGGTAAGATTGTAAATTGTTTCACCTTGTTGGAATTTAGGTTAAATTTTAATTGTAATTTATTAAATTATGTAATTGTTAAATTACAGAGGTGAAATACAGATGCCCTTTGATGTAGAAATTCTACTTCTAAGTGTCTTATAAAACCATATACAGCTCTCAACAAAAATATATATAATTTTCATTATTATATTGTGATCATGAAAAATTTTCATACCGTATTATCCACATTTTCTAGTTTCTAGGTTGATGCTCTCACCTCTTTCCCTCCTCTTCCACCCAGTCAGCTGCAGCCCTAGTTGGCCAAGCAGTTGTGAAGACTATCAGTGCAAAGAGTGGGTCCTTCCTAGTATGCTGTGTTATCACTCATGATATTCAGTAGATTACTATATTTAATACATCTTGACTTACAGTATTCTCAATTTATGATGAATTTTTGGGGGGTAGAGCCCCACCAAAATGGTGCAGCATCTTTACCACTTTGGACAAAGAATAGTAAACTGTGAAAATAGGACCACACAAAGAGACATAGGGCAGGTAGTTGAGTGAAGAAGAAACTAGGAAGATAACAGTCAGTTTAATAAGGTATATTTGTGTGGAATTCCCACTCTGACTTCTTGTCCTCAGTGAAAGTGTCACTTTTCCTCCAGCACAGGGAGAACACCTCTCAGGTGGAGTTTTCCTCTCTTCTAATCAGGAACAAAACACTCAGGGTCAAAGAAACATTTTTGTACCTGCTATTTTAAAAAGTGTTTTCAGATCCGATGAATCCTCATCACAAAGTGGCATATTTTGGGCCATGTACTAAAATTTTTTTTAACATATTTGGAGTTCAGGAGAAAAGAGAATGTAGAAAAAATCTTACCTATCTCAGCATTTTCTAAAATTGAGTCAAACATGTGTATTTGATACTTGCAAAGCATGACAAATCTCAAGCAAGCTAAGTAAAAACAAACTTCCACCTAGATACACCATAGTAAAAGCACATAACACAAAGGACAGGTATCTAAGAGGCATCCAGAGACAAGGATTCCTTGCATCACTTTCCTGCTGATAAGCCTGCCATCACTTGGTAACTCTCAGATTTCCATCCAATGCCCATGGTCTTACTTTCAAGAAAACAAGAACAGAAAGAAACTAATGGATAGAAATGTCTAGTCTCACTCTCAGTGATATATCTGGAATGACTAAACTACTTTCAATATTTTATTTTAAAAGGGTATTGCATAATGGAAATTGAATAATGTTTATCCAACACTGTCCATGAAGCAACAGGAAGGTTGTGGTAGATTTGCAGTACAGGGTATTGGAAATGCTCTGTCTTGGTAACAGTTTTTTCTGGAGACATTTGTTCCTTCCTTTTATTGCAACACTAATCAAGAAGAATAAATCAATGCCACTCTGTTAGTGTTTTCAACCTTCTGATTTCATCCTCAAAGAAATTTCTTTCATATACCTGTGAAATAAAATCACACTCTACAAAGGAGGTGTAGTGTCTGGAATTCTGACACTTGCATTATATGACATCTGAGCACCGCTTCTCAGGACAGCTTTCAGAATCACTTGACTTCAGGGGAAGGAGAGTTGAGAGGACACACCACCATGGATCTTGGAGAAATAGTTGATTCTCCTTGTGAATTTCGCTCTTGGCATTTTATGATCCAGTAAGTGAGAATAAGAAATAATTTGGTTTCATTTTATTACAAAAAGGCAGTAAGAATATGTTTATTTAGAAAAAAATCCATTAGACTCATTATAAAAAGTGAAAATCCTGCCACATAAAAATACATGACCAAAGGTCACCTCTGAATGGCTCTATTCAAATGAGAATTCTCCATCCCATTTTTTTTTTCAGTAGAAGCCTTTTCTTCTCCCACCCCACCTTCCATCTCCTACCCCATAATACATGATACATGCAAGTGCTCCACCATAAGCTACACTCCCAGATGTACAAGAATTTTCTGCTGGGCTCCCTCAGAAGTACTTCATAATGACAAAGAGGCCTTTCCTGATCTCTAAACAGCTAAGCACAGATAAAGCAACAGAATCCTAACAAGCTAAGCAGAAAGTCGAAGAAATGGCCTGACCTCGAACCAATGATTTTTGAGTTGTTCAAGCCAGTGTGGAAACTTCATGAGGATCAAGACAACCCAGAAGGAGAGAGATGTGCAAGTTACTGCCTGTTTTACACTTCCCCAGATGTACTCCAAAGTGACTGCACCTAACTCCACACAGGTGAAAGTTCTCATGAGGAAGGAGCCTGTATTGTTCTTAACATGATACTTCCACTTTGTCTTATTTTTTAAAGTGCAGCTCTTGAAGAATTTTCTTTTAAAATCACCTAAAGGAAGAAAAATGAGTGAATTTAATCTGAACCGAGAATTGCAACATTCCATAGTGAACAGCCAGGTCTGCAAACTCCACAAGACCCTTGCCACATGGTGGTGCTGCCCCAAACGTCTGATTTCAGAGGCCGCAAGAGGGATGCTCCTGCTTTTTTCTGATGTTCTGTCCTCACTGTGGGCTCACCAGCACATGAAAGCAATTCTGTAAATGTCCTTGGCCTTCAGAATTTGTCTTTTGATACTACAAATGGTGCTGGGCCTCAGTATGGGGACATACAAGTCTTCCAGATAGTAACTCCTCCAGCACAGGAGGAATAACAGCCTGCCTGATAGCAGAGCTTATTAAGGGGTAAAAGGCACTGGAAGACTCTAGTTTCATACAAAAAATTCAAAATAAAATGCTCCCTAATGATGATGATCTTATGCCAAACACTTGTCAGAATATATATGCATATACATTTTAAGGAGGCTATTGTCTTTTGTGAGAAACACCAGCACACCCAACCCCACAGACTGGCCAAACAACAGTTCTGGCCAGTCTTTCACACCACAGGCAAATCTTCTGCTTACTTACTTCAGCTCAGGTTTCTGATCCTAGTCATATACTTGTCTGGGGTGGCTGCACTCATTACTGTGGTGTAAACTGTAATCCTGAAAACAAGAGAAAATTTTTTATATGTATGCAAAATTCTCCCTAATATTCCAAAAGAAGGCAGAAGTGTCAAGGCCATCCTGAACACCTGGGTTCTAGGACAAGAATACAGAGGCCCATGACATGGATTTCAGTGTGTGCATCACAAAGTCAAAGTGTACTTTAACATCACTGTAGAGGCCAATTTGCAATTTCAGATGCTCAGATTCCTCACAGCTCTGTGTAGCCATAACAGTCAGCCTGGTTCTCAGCCTGGCTCCATCCTGGCCCACCAGGGACCTTCATCCTTTAGTCCCTTGTCAGGACAGGATATCCACAGTGGCTGCCACCACCATCGAGAGACCACGCAAAGAAGGGACTGTGTTCAGGCTGAGGGTCCCAGGTCCTGAATCCTTGGGCCACACTCTCTATGGGCCTGGTTGTGTCTCCTTATCCGGAAGAGGAGCTAGAGGAAGGCTGGAAGCTCAGATACCCCTGCCCAGGTCCAAAGAGGGCAAGTGCAATGTCACTTGTTCCATGCTCTCATTGCAAGAGACCCAAGCAACCTGAGCACATGTGTACACACACACTCTGGCTGGCCTGTACCCTGGCTCCTCTCCTCCTGTACTAGGAATGGAAGGAGGGACGCTGCAGCACCAGGAGCTGTGGAACTGAGAACAGAGTTGGCTGAAACAACACTGTGAGCAGCAGGCGGCTCATCCAACCCGTACAAAGAAAGGGTCCCTAGCTAGGACTATGGGACTTCATCCACAGCACTTTTCTGTTCTTAGATTTCCTCTGCTGAAGGCCACAGGACAAAGCTCCTGCAGGAGAATGTGAGTTTGAAATCTGTCACTAGGGGGCAGTGTAACACTGAGCTCTTGTGCCCAGAATTAGCCCCGTCACTTATAGCCACACACTTGGGTGCATCATCACCAGGAAGGCCTAAGTGTCAGGGGTGTGTATAGGCTTGCTCTGTGGTCATTGCCATTTAAATGCCATTCCTTTTGGGTTTTCAGTCATACAGCAAAGAAAAATGCTTCTCAGTAAACTGTCTTAACCTCTAAGGATTATACTTTGCAAAATGTTTCAGAAGCTACTGAAATATCCATAGCCTTTCATTCAGTAATCCTACCTCTGGGAATTCAGTGAATGAAAGACAATCTTATCTTGAAGTGATGTTGTACAAATATGTTTATTGCAGAATAGTCTTTTCATTTGGTTTGGGGTTTTGTTTAGTTTTTTTTTTGTTGTGTTGTTTCTGGGGGTTTTTGGTTTTTGCAGTGCTAGAATTGAACTTACGGCATCAGGCACACATGCGAAGCAAGACTGTAGCACTGAGTAACACTCCAGCCTCTAGCTCAGGGTTGAAGGGAGGAAAAGCTAACCTAACCAGTGGAGAATACTTAAATAAAATGTGTCTAGTGTCATTATGGAGCCATTTAAGATTAGGAGGCTAGTCAAAACACAGAAAATATAATTACTTCATTATAAAACAAGTATTTATGAAATATAGCCATCACTCATGTAACTATAAACTATCAGAGCCCAAAAATAGCATTTTAACATCTACTTTTAAAATAATTATAAGGGCAAAATAGTGCCCCGGTGAAGGTTAGCGCCAGATGTGTGTTGGCACTGCTGGCTCCTAGAGGCCCAAGAAAAGCAATTGTTAGAGAAGTCTGTGGGCCACTTGAAAGCTTAAAATCAGCCATAGTGGGAGTATAGGTCGAGCATGGCTAATCCAAAAATCCAAACTATAAACAACTCCAAAACTCAAAACTTTTGAGTATCATGTTGGCACTACAATTGTTTTGAATTTAAGACCACTTCAGATCTTTGGAATTAGAGATGTTCAACTCTAGTAAACACTATGCAGATATTCCAAAAATGAAAAAACTCTGGAATCTTAAAAACTTCTGGTCCCAATCATGCTGGATATGGAATACACAACTTATATTTTACAATACGGAAATCCAAAAATACGTATCACAGAGGGTTTTCCTTCTTTCCCAAAGACCTAGCTTATTACAGAACACTGGGAATGATTTATTATTCAAATAGCCCATTTGTTCTTAGAATATTCATTTTTTAAATGAGACTTCTAAAACTATCTATTTTCTTAAGAGTTTTGAAGTAAGTATATCATGATTATATTTTTAAATTTTTACAGAAGGATCGAAAGTACAGGTCCAATAAGAACCTGTCTCCACAATAGCGGAGAGGGTTGGGTATGTAGCTCTGTGTCAGCACCTTGGGCCTAATTCCCAGTACTGCATATGAGAGCTGGGTGGGGTGTTAACAATAACCTGTCTGTAAAAAAAAATAGCATGGGGAGGGGGAAATCCTTGGGAAGCTAATGGAGAAAGGTGTTAAAAGATCAGTGCTGACAGAATTCATGAAGAGGCTTGCTATGATTTGTGTCTAGATGTCCTCCCAAAGCCTCATGCAGTCATAGGGGCAGGCTTCTAGAGTTTGTGATTGATTCATGGTCCACTGCTGGGATTATGGGTATGAGTGAGCCAGCCAAGTGTGGATTGAAACCTCTACAAACATCTAAATAAACCTTTCCTTCCTTAACTTTGGGTGTTGGGAATTTTGTCTCAGCAGTGAGAGAAAAGTAACCAAGACAAGGTTCATCACCAGTGCAATACTGATGTAGCTTATTACTGCCCTCCCAGTTCTGATCACTGTCCTCTTGACTTTTGACCCTTGGTTTCGTTCAAGAATTTCTCACCTGATGTGTGATTTGCATGTATCTCCTCCGCACCACAGTCCACATTTGACTGTTCATTTCACAAAAGCAGAAAATACTGTTTGATCACAGGCAACCCATGGCTCTACAACACCTGGTCACAGCAGCCCTCATAACTGGTGAGCCAGAGTGTGTGAGCAATGTCACCATTCTGTGGTGACAACTGAACAGATGTGCTTAACGTGTGACTTACTTGTTACAAACTGGAACAACTGATAAAACCTGCATAGGAAAAATTATATTACAAGAATATTAAAAGGTATGAAATACATAGGAAGAATATAACTACTTAACAGTTTAGTATGTCTTGGGGTAACCCACTTTTTAATCTTTGGTTTTAGTGCACACATAAATGTGTGTGAGGGAGAGGGCACCTGGGATAGAACCCAGGGCCTTTGTATTGAGCTACATTCCCAGCCTTTTTTTTAAATTCTGAGACAAGGTCTCACTAAATGCCAAGACTGGGCTCAAATTTTCATTTCTCCTGCCTCAGCTTCCCATAATGCCAGGATTTTGAGAAAGCCTGGCTCAGGCTGGTTTTGAACTTTCTATAGCTCAGACCAGCTTTGAATTCAATCCTCCTGTCCCAGTTTTCTGAATGCTAGGCTTATAGACAGGCATCACCACTCCCAACTGTTCTTCTTTATTTTTAATTAACAATGGGCATATATCCAACTATGCCTATTTCTTTTTAACATGAATAAAAACTTACATAGGGATAGGTAAGGATGCATAAATCCTTCTATACAAAAACAAGTTCAGAAAATATTGTGGCTTTTAAAAAAATATTTTCAATTACATAGAACTTTTTACTCTAACATTTTCATCCTCCACTCTTCTTTGACTTAAGAGAATTTTTTTCATCAGTATTAACTAAGACACAAGTATCCTGGAGAAGTTTGACATTACAACACAACTCACCTGGAACAGTGCCTCCAGACTGAGGTTTGCCTGCCCTGTGGCATTTAGAGCTTTGATGGCAGGTGTTCTGTGGGAACAACAGTCAAAGGTCACAAGGCACTTCTGAATCTCCTTAGCTGCCATGTGAGATATACAATGCACATTTTCTTATTACCTCCCCAGAAAAGTCTCTGGCTCCCAACCATGTCCTATCTCAGCTAGGACCACCCCAGTGGGATTCACTGGACTGTCAGTCTGGCTCTGTGTGCTCCCAAAGGCAAGAACATTTACTGTGGAATCAGTCATTGCCACCAAACCCAGGAGCAAAAGCCAAGTGAGGTACACATTCACTTCCTCTTCAGGCACACACTAGCTATCAGGATTTTCACAACTAGAAAGGAAAATGAAAGTACTGGACTAGTTTGTTTAAGGGAAATATTTCACTTTGAAAAAAGTCTTACATAGAAGCCTCTGAATCTGGCCCTCTCCTTTCATGTTGCAGGTGGGTGAGCAGAGACCACGGTGAGTCACAATGGGCTGGTGGGGACACCCACAGGGCTAACCTGATCATTCCAACTCCTCCAGCCTCTCTACACCCTCCTCCACCCAATAGGCTCTCCTCCCCAATAGTCCAGACACTGCCAAGGGGGCCAGGGACCTTTATGGAAGGGGACAGCACCTGCAGGTCTCTCTAGTCCCTGATCATAAGAAACCAGAAAGCATACAGAAGTCTACCTTCGGTCATCTGACTTAGGCACTGGCTTCCAGTGGTCATAATTTGTCTCAACTCGGAACCACCTGCAACAGAGCACATCATCTTGTCTTAGCCAAGGTCATTTAGGACATAATTACTGAAGAAATATATTCGTTTCATCTAATTAACAAAAGATGCTTTGTAAAAAATCACCAGAGCCTTCAGTTCTACTCACGCTCCATTTAAGGGATCTAGAGGCCAAATGTCTGCTGGACCACCTCTGTTCCTGGTGACGACCACTCCTTCTCCAGGGGCTGTGCCACCGACAATGTAATAAACATCAGCAATAAGGGGCGTCTTGGCCAATTTATAAACAGACGCTTCAAAGTCTTCTGACTCACTCAGGGTCTAAACAGAAAGACAAGCATTGGCAACAACATTTGAGGGAAAGGTACACAACTGACAGACACATGGTCCAAAGCATTCTCTGCTGATATCTGAAGACCTCGCTCTGACTTACTCTTGTCACCAGGGCTCCTAAGAGGGAAGAAACCTCAGTTACTATTGGAGAGCTAACAGTGGTGGCACTTTGCAAGAAAGGACTGCGTGTCAACAAGTCCTAGACCAGGCCCGCCAAACACAGTCAAGAGCTTTCAAGGAGATCATGACACATGGCACTCCCATGGATCTCCACTCATTTGTTCTTTCCACAGGAACAGGGATTCTTGTACAAATTCCTCCAGTGTATGCAGTCAGCACCAGAATGGGGCAAGAGCAGTATGACTGAATTTGTTCTCCCCAAATGTTCAAGAAAGACAGAAAAGTCAACAAACAATGGTAAAACCATGCAAGAACTGTTAGGACTGGAAATGGAAGTAACAGCTGGGAACCATGCTCACCAGTGTAAACATGTGCCAAAAGGGACACACTGAAGTCAGATTGTGCAAGCGGCAGTCACGGAAGAAGAATGGGGGGAGGGGGTGGCAGTGAGTTTTGCCCTATTGGACTCTGGCAGCAAAGGCATGGGATAAAAGATCATGTGTGACATTGCTGTGAAGAGCCTCACGGTGTTCTCACATCCCCAAGGATCCTTAGAGTCAGCCAAGGGCTGGCAGCATGGACAGTTAGGGAATCACTTTCAAATGCCTCAGCTTCCTGTGTGCTCTCTGTCTGAGCTGATCTGCTCAAGGGCACTGTGCTGCAGAGGATCAGCCCTTCCTTCCTGCACCTTCACAGCCATCCTCCCACCACACTTGGAGTGATGGACTTTTGTGCTCTCCTGTCTTGAGTACTGCCAAAGCTCAAACAAACAAAAGAACAAATCAAAATATCAGGATCCGCAAAGACTCCATCCTTCAGATTCATAAGTGCACAGCGGGGCTGTGTAACCTTTCCCTGCCTTCATCACAGCTCTGTTGGGGGAGGTGTTTTCATTTGAGTTGCTTTCTTCTGAACTCAGCAGGACGATACAGGGAGGTAAGACAAGCGATGGGATATTTGATTATGATGACTCATCACTGCCCAACTATCACTAAGGACTGAGTCTCACAGAGGCAAAGTTGGGGAAGGCAAGTGCCTGAACTGTCTGAGGAAACAAAGAGAGAATGAGGAGTGACTGCTAACAAGCAAGGGGTTTCTTTTGGAGGAATGAAAATGTTCTAAAATTGTGGTGTAGCCTGTCACCTCTGTGAATATATTAAAAGTCAGTGAATTGTAGATGCTAAGGAGGTGAGTTATGCAGTATGTGAATTACACCTCAGCTACATATCTCCTTATGGTCCATAATTCCATTCTTAGGTACTTACCCAGCTGAAATGAAATGGACATGGAGAGTCACAAAAAGACTTGTACTAGAATTTTCACCTTATAATTCTAGCTCCAAACTGCAAACAACCTTGTATTCATCAATAGGAAAATGATAAATCGTGGCATATCCATAGATCTGAATATTCCTCAGAAATAGAAATGAACTACTGATATGACTGATGTGATGGGCCTGAAACACATTAGGTCAGGTGGGAGGAAGAAACTGGATTCTTAAGATTTCAATCATATGAATCTGAGAACAGGCAAATCTTGTCTGTGGTGATAGAGGACATCGAAGAGCAGGTAGGTGGGGCAGAGTGTGGGCAGGAGTGGAAGGAGCACGAGGTAGGGACTGATTTTAAACAGCGCTAGAGAAATTTCCATGCTACGTGGAAGACAAAGTCAGGGAGCAAATACTCACGGTGCGGATGAGCCAGCTGACAGGAGAGTGTCCCTGGAAAAGGGCGGCGATCATATTCTCCCACCACCAGCCTTTGTCTGCTGAATTGAGGAAGAACAGTAAGCTTGTCACCTAAACTTTTTTCTTCTTAAGCATTTTTTATTCCCCTGAGGAGAAAGGCTGGTTGATGGAGGGTGATATACTACTATTTAGTTTTTAAAGGATAAGCCTAAATTTCATGGCAACCATCGAAACATCACACATATGTATGCACAGGTGTGAGTACATACACATAATACAATAAATAGGTATTCCTTTAGCAAGCAAAATACACTTGATGAAATTTTCACTCTTTTGTACACTGATACAATGATTATCATGCTAAAATGGTTCTATTTAAAATTAAATTATGTATCTTCCAAGATAAATAGTTCAATAAATATTAGGAAGAATGTAGAGAGCTAATATCTTTATAATTTATTTATACCCTTAAGAACTTTAAGTTTGATTTGTGCTCACATTTTTGGTTGTTGTCTTCTTTTTTAACTTACTTTGGATTCACATTTTTTTTTTTTTTTTTTGTCTTTTTCCTTTTTATCGGTACCGGGGATCAAACTCACGACTGCCTGCTTGAAAGGCAGGCACTTATGCCACTGAGCTAAATCCCCAGCCCCCAGATTCACATTTTTTTCAAACTACAAATTATCAGTCATTCCTCAAATTACTTTTAAAAGTTTCTGTAGAGGATTTTCATATAAGAGATAAGCAGTGGTAATAAGAGGAAAAAATACACGTCAGACTTTATTAAAAGTTTAATGATTCTTTGCAGTAAAATCAGTATCAAAGGAATGAAAGAAAATGTTTGCAAGCTATGTCTAATGAATAATTGGAATCTAAAATACAGAACTCCTAAAACTCAACCTCAAAAACAAAATTCAAAAATGGGCAAAGGACTTGAACAAATATTTCTCCTAAGAATATATACAAATGGTCAATGACTGCAAGAAAAGATACCCAACATCACTAATCATTAGAAAAATACAAATGAGGCATCACCTCATCCCCACTGGTTATTATTTTTTTAAAAATGTGTTGACAAAGATGTGGGAAAATAAGAACACTTACACACATTGAGGGGATAGAAAATGGTATAGTCACGTTCAAGAACAGTATGGTATAGTACCTTGAAAATTAAAAATAGGATTATCCAGTGACCTAGCAATTTCACTATTTATCTATATTCCCCAAAGAATAGAAGGCAGAGTTTTGAGTAGACCTCTGTACACCCACATTTATAGCAGCATTATTCACAATAGCTAAAACAAGCAAGCAATCCAAATAGCTGTCAAATGGAAAAGCAAAATGTGCTTTATACATACAATGGAACATAATTCAGCCTTGAAAGAAATTCTGACACACATTATAACATCAGGGAATCTTGAGGACAGTATGCTAAGTGAAATAAGCCAGTCCCTAAATAAATACTGCATGAGTCCCTTCATTTTAGGTAGTTAGGAGTAAAAGTCAAAGATACAGACAATAGAAAGCTGGTCCCAGGGATGAAAGGAAGGCAAAATGGGGAATTGTTTCAGGGGTACAGAGCTGTTTCTGTTTTGCAAGATGAAAAGAGTTACAGAGATGGGTGGTGATACTGGATATAAAACATTACTAGTGTATTTAGTACCATTGAAGAGTACATTCAAAAATGGTTAAGATGGTAAACTTTATGTCACCATGTATTTTACTATAAAAACAAGCTTAAATTGGAAAAAATAAGCATTGAGCATCTATATGCATTGGGTCATATCCTTGGGTTTAACAGTAAACAAGAAAAAGTAGCATAACTTGTTTTTTTGTTTGTTTGGTTTTTGTTTTTGTTTTTGTTTTTGTTTTTGTTTTTGTTTTTTTGTACTAGGAATTGAACTTGGGACCTCGTGCCTGCCAGGCAGGCACTTGTGCTGCTGAGTTATATCCCCAGCCCTAGTACAGTATTAAATAAGCAATGTTTTGGTAACTTTAGTAAAGAAAGTAAAATCTGATAACTGAGAGTGACTAAGGAAGTGTCCTTTTGTGAACAGCATTTACAAGCCTCTTGGGGCTGTCAACACTGAGCTACAATGGGAGAGCATCCAGATGGGAGGCACGGGTGGCAGGTGGGTGGCAAGAGGGGTGGAGACACAGAGAGGCACAAAGGCAGTGCAGGGGCACCAAGTGGGGCCCCAAGGTCAGAGCCACAGCTAGTAATGTTTTACATCCATAAATGAGAAGTCACCATAGGGTTTTGTTTTGGTTTTTGGTTTTTTGGGGGAGGGGGGCATTTTTTTATTTTTATTTTTAATTGACAACTGTATATATTTAGAGGATACAATGTAACATTTGAATACCTGTGCACATTGTGGAATGAACAAATCAGACCATCGTATCTATTGTTTTACATATCACATTTTTTTTGTAATAAAAATGTTTAAAATCCCCTGGAGCCAGATGTGATGGCACAAGTTTGTAATCCCAGCACTCAGGAGGCTGAGGCAGGAGGATCACTATGACTTCAAGACAAGCCTGCCTACATTGTGAGTTCAAGGCCAGCCTGAACTACAGAATGAGACCCTATCACAAAGAAATAAATAAATAAATATATAAAATAAAATCCCCTCCTTTAGTAATTTTGAATATACTTGAATATAGTCATTATGATGTCACTAGGGATCACCAGGATCACCAGGGATCCTCTTGTCCACTGAAACTCTGTAACCACTAAACATTTTTTTTCTGAACCCTTTTCATCCTTTATCCTCTGTTCTATTTTCTTCTGAGTTCAAAGTTTTAGATTCCGTATATAAGTGAAATCATGTACTCCTTGTCAGAGTGCCAGGGAGTTTCAGGCAAGGTGACCACCTGACCAGTGCAGCTGCTAGATAAGAGAAGGAAGTACAGAAGATAAGCCAGAGGAGGTAGAAAGAACGGCCAGATACAGTCTAGCTTGTGTGGCACAGCTAGCCATACTGGCCTAAGGAGCCAAAGATGACTTCAGGACCCACCTGCTACAGTGTTCCTGAGATGCACAGAGTGAAGAGAACAGATCTGGATAAAGGCAGAGTGGGGCAGGGGCAGAGGAAATGAAGGCGGCAAGAACTCAGTAGACCGTAAAGGAGAGGTGGGGGAGGACCCCAGGCTGGGCTCAAAGGTTCCCCTGGACATGTAACAGGAACAAAGGCTTCTGTCCTAAATCTGTGCCAGGAACTGCCTTGAGTACTTAAATATACTAGCTCCCTTTGTCAGTGAGCATGTGTGTGTGTGTGTGCACACACACGTGTGGTGCTGGGGACTGAGCACATTGAGTACATCCTGAGCCCTTTTTAAAATATTTTCAGAACTAGACTCAGTAAGTCATTAGTTGCCCAGGCTGTGTTCAAATTTGCAATTCTCCTGCCTCAGCTTCCCAGAATACTGGGATTATAGGCATGCACCCCCACATCTAGCTACATTAACTAAATTCAACCTTAAAGCAGCTTGTTCGAAGAGGAAACTGAAGCACTGGTAGGTGATGCCCCATAGCTTCCATTATGTTTAAAATCCATGGCCTTGGTGTCCCTTCCACCTCCAATGTCCCTACCACTTATTTCTGGCTGTCATCACAGAAACCTGGTTTTGTGTCTCGAATCCACCAAGCCTATTCCTGCCTCAGGCTTCTGCCTGTGGTTTGAGTCCGCTGGGAATGGCCAGCCCACCTTCTTCAGAGCTGTGGCAGGAAACCCCTGGCGAGGCCTTCTCTGACCCCTCCCCCCATCAGCCTTTAGCAGGACTATGACAACGGGAGCCTGCCACTGCCTGCAGACCCTCTGTCTCCTCCCTCACCAGGACAGTGCTCTCTCAAGCCTTCTGTCAGGCAAGGGAAGGAGGTACAGGGACAGATGTGAACAGGGCTGAGGCTACCTGGGTATGAGGAGCACTTTCCCCATTACCTCGTTCATCACCAGACACCGTGAACTTGTATGGGCTCTGGCCAGTCCACAATCCCACGTAGCCAATAAAAGTGGTTCCTGTGAATGCAATCTGAAACCAAAAGACATGTCATTTCACCATGCCAACAAAGATGGACTGAGACCACCTGTTTTGGTCCTACAGTTTCCTGGATTGTTTCTCTTGTAAGCCATGATAATAATAATGATCTGTGAAATAACCTTCTCAAGTGGAAGATCTTAACCCAAGAAGTCCCTGGGTAGAATCCAGTGGAATCAAGTAGATGGGGAAAAAGGTATGCATGTTTTCACCAACCTCCATTTGAAATTTAACTCCTTGTATAGGGGCGCATACAACAAAGCATGCCATTGTAGCCATCTCTGTTGACTCTGTCACCCAGCAGACACACACACAGCTGTCACTCCTCAGAAATCATGGTAAGCAGGCTCATGGCTATATCTATGTAATGCGTTGTTTAAAAAAATATATAGTATTAAAATGGTCATATTTCAACATAAACCATTTTTTTCTGTAATCCAATACATTTCATTTTATGTACTTCAAGATGATCTTCACCAAAGGGCCTATGCCTGGAGAAATCCTGTCCCAGAAACAGCAGATGAGGTCTGATTTTAAAACTTGTTTTGGATTGGGAATGCAGCTTAGTAGTGGAGCAATTGCCTAGCATGCTGGAGGCCCTGGTGTCAATCCCCAATTTTTAAAATATTAAGAAGTTATTGACTTGATTATAAGAGATAAATATTATACATTTTATAAGTGAGACTGCTCACCAATAATAGTCATACTGAAATTTTAGATATTTAAAAAGTCATTCCATATACCTTCAATTTAACCTTCATAGTTACCCTATGAGTGAGAGGGATTGCCTCCACTTTAAATTACAGTCGTCCCTCAGATCATGAACTTATTTGTAAACAACTTAGTTTGCAAACAGAAGCATTTGGCAAAAATTTCTTTTTGTTTCCAAACTCTGCATCAAGTGATCAACACAACTTCAGCTCAGCCATCTTTCTACACAAACATGAATGTGACCATCTTTCCCAAAGTCACAGAATAAATTAAGTTCATGAACTGAGGTACCACTGCACTGTAATGAATTCTGATTGAAAGAAACCAGTATATTATATTACCACAGAAGAAAAACCAAACTCTAGCAGTTACTTCTATGCCAGATTTTATTTTTCAAGGAAATGCTTAAAACAATGCACAGGGCATCTTAATTAATAAAAATTCACCGAAGTGTTTATATATTAAGTAATGAATTAGACCTAGGTAAATGCTTTTCACCTCTACAAAGCTCCAATCCATCCTGACACTCCCAGCCCCTATTGCCTGCTAGCAGAGGTGCTGCTCTCTGCAAAGAACCCAGCTCAGCACCACAGCTATCATCAGCATGTGCAGCATGTCATAAATGAGATAAGATAGGACAAGGAATTCTCCCCAGAATCTGGAGACGCCCCAAGATTTATAATGGATGCTTCAAAAACTTGCCCACTGAGATGCAAGACTGCCAGAGAATTCTGACCAAGAATGTTTATTAAAATCTTCCTGCCGGGGCTGGGGATTTAGCTCAGCGGCATAAGCACCTGCCTTGCAAGCAGGCAGTCGTGAGTTCGATCCCTGGTACCAATAAAAACGAAAAAGACAAAAAAAATCTTCCTGCCTAATATTTCCGGCCTTCTCTCCATCTCTATAGAAGGGCCCACTTCTCTTTATTCTCTGCAGATGGCCTTATCACTGTTTGCCTGCACTCAGGCATAATAAATTCCATGTTATGTTGCCTTTATACCAGCCTGGTGGTCGCTGTTGGTCTCTGCCCCTCAAGCCACGTGTTACAACCTCCATGCATAGCAGTAAAATGAGAGCAGGTCCACCTTGCTACTGAAGCCCTTGTAAAATGTTAATTCTAAGAGGAAAAAAAAAATCATTCTAGGGCCACCTAATTTGCAAACATACTGGCCTCTGTGCTAGCATTACTTCTGGAGGGTCAAGGAAGTTAAAGTGATAAAATCCATATCATGGTTTAGTTTCCAATTATAATACATAACTACCAGATGTAAACTGTAAGATATTTTATCTTGCAGTTTTTAAAATCTGTATTTCTAAAGGTTAGATCTCTTTATTCCTATTACGTCAGTTAAAATACGCAACCCCTTAGCAAGGGAGTAATTTACGTTCAACTATGGATAAGCTTTGGCCAAGAAAGAAAACGAAAGCTATTTGAAGGCTGAGGGCCTGGGTTCTGCCCCACCCCACAGGCCCCCCTGTGACTGGCAGGTGAGGCTCTGGAAGGTGCCTCATCCAGACAATAGAGAAGAGACTGTGCCTACCTCCCAGGACTGCAAGCAGGGTTAAATAAGGTCCTACATAGAAACAAATATTTTTAAAATGATGAACACTAGCCTAGAATGAGAGATAATTTATTTTGTGGATAGCCTGTTCTCAATTCACCAAAACAGTTTATTGGCCCTGAGTCCTCAGCCAGGCAATGAGGTTTGGCAATAACCACCTGGGAAACATGCACCCCACACACACTGCTCCTCACCAAGCATGAGACGGAAGTGACAGCAGAGACCTTGGCTGCCAGAGTGAGACTCAGAGAGAAGAGGTGGAGTGGCTGACTTTTATTGCAGTTATTCCTTCGTGTGTTTATGAGAATATTTCCTCATTGTAGAATAATGGAGAAAAACAGGAAGTAGTTAAAAATCATGCCATATTACTAGTACGTTAATAATATAGCAAATGTTCCTTAACAATTTAGTATACATTCACAGTATCACTTATCATTTAACACTGTCTTTGAAGTAAACCTTAAGCTAGCTATCAGATTAATACTGGCAAAGTAAAGCGTTTGAGAAAGGAGAAACTTTCACTTTAAATATTTCTGTATTGCTCAAATTTTTATGAGAATAAGTTTATCTTTCCTAAAAGCACATGATTAAATCACTGTTTTATAAATAAGTTTTTATTTTATAAATTTATTTATTTGTTTGTTTGTTTGAGAAAGGGTCTGGCTATGTATGTAGTTCAGGCTGGCCTTCAACTCACTGTATAGCCCAGGTTGGCCTCAAACTAATGGTGATTTTCCTGCCTCAGCCTCCTGAGTGCTGGAATCACTGGATAAACAAGTTTTTAGGATTACTGAACCAAGTCTTAACTCCAAAGATCCTTAAAGCTAAAATATCTGTCTTTTGCACACTGCTTTTCTTCCACAGCAATAACAAGTTTTGCCTTACGTATTCAATGAATATGGACTTATGCTGTCTCTCTAGAAGTCATGTGACAGCAGTAAATAACAGATGACACTTCCAAGGAGACCATGCTACAAACAAAATAACCTAAGCCTAATTTTTTAAAGCCCTTACACGAGAGTGGTGTACGTCAGTCATGCTTGTAGAGGAAAAAGTTATTATGTGGCCGCTATTTATCAGGCACCTACCACATGCTTTACATTCAGATTGCATTTAACTAACCTTGATAAGTATGGCAACAATGCAGGTATGAACCTCTCTGAGCTTACTCTACAGAAACAGGCAGGCATCCTTTTCCAGGCTCATAAAGGAAGGGACAGAAGAAGGATCCAAAGCCAGACCTGTGGGATGCAAAGCTGTCAATGCAGTCCTTGGACCTCCCTGTTCTGGAGGAGCCTGAACCCAGAAAAGCAGAGGAAGGAACTGATTCCACATAGCAGGTGGGAAACTCAGCAGATCCCAAAAGAAAATTTCCCCAAAGAACACTGATTAACCTCAAGTCAATACTGAGTAATAATAAATGATCCTTCTTCCTCTAAAATAATGTATGTCTCTCTCCTGGTTTGTCTTTGTATCTTACAGTGATAACAGACTTACTGTATTTTCCACCAAAATAAAACCTAAATGGAAAATAAGTGCTACTGTGAAGTTTCAGGTGCTTATAAACCCTCTCCTGAAAATAAGGCCAGGTAAGAGTCTCAGCCAAACAGATGCATTTAGTGTATCCCTACAACACATGATAGACACAATGAATTATAAAATAATAATATAAAACTAAAATCATTGACAACTGTGTTGCCAACACACTAATAGCAGGCTACATAGACAAGAAGTGCTTATTTAGGAAGGGCTGGATTGTTGGACATGAGATTGGGGCCAAGGGTTCTACAGGAAATGGAGCCACAAGAAATTCAGGCCTGAAGTCAGGCTTTGGAATTACCATGATGTTCCAGATGAGATGACTGTATCTGAATAAATGCAGATTTTTATACGTGAATAAATACAGATTTTGTAAATAAATGTAGATTGTTACATGTGAAAAAATAAGACATCTGCTAAAAATAAGCCCTATTACATCATTTGAAGTAAAAATTTGTATAAAAATTCATCTAAGCCTTATTCTCAGGGAAAATCAGTAAGCAGGCCATCTAAATGACCGCTGATCTGGTCAAGAACAGTGCTTTGGATTCTGCTCTTCTGTGGTATGGCCCGTACCTGCCCATTCTTTAAGAACTGCACATCCACTGTCATCTTGCGTAAGAGATCTCCAAAAGGGTAGTCCAGATTTCGGCCGTGGTAAATGTGGCCTCTGGAGTCTTGGGCCACAACACTGGTACAGAATCTGAGAAGGAGAAATACCCAAGTGAATGAGAAAACCAGAACAAGGAAAATGTTTTTTCTTTTTTAAAAAAACTGCTCAAAATTACAGGGTATTTTTTCTTATAGTTGACATATATGCTATAATTCTTATACAAAACTGTGGATTCACAATTCTAGCTGAAAAGTACATCCAGACACAACTCATCTGCTCATTCAGTGTTACCAGACCTGACCCCCTGGCCCCACCGACAGGGTAACAAATAGGAAAGTGAGAATTTCATTTTCAATCACTTCCTTTTTTTGAAACAGTCTTGCTATGTAGCCCAGGCTGGTCTCAGATCTGTAATCCTCTTCCCTCCACCTCCAGACTGCTGGGACTACAAACATGCACCACATACCTAGTTTCCAAGCACGATGCTGGGCTCAGCTAGACCTCTGAACTCTGCTTATCTCTCTGCTTGGCAGTAAGTACCCTTCCTAAAACTTTGTTCAAAGCTGGGTTAGGCCTACTTCTCCACAATATGAGTTTTGCAGACTATGTGCAGTGGCATTAAATCATTCATTTTCACAATGCTCAATTTTGTCCCTTTGGGAAAACAAGTCAGTTCTTTAGGGGTTTGGTATTGTTTCTGTTCGTCTCAGAGTTCTGTGCACATAGGCAGTAAGAGAAAAAGATTTTTAAAGAACTTCTGATTCGGCTTGGCATAGTGGTACTTACCTATAATTTCAGATGTGTAGTACTAGCAACTTAAAGTGTAGCTAGTATTATTCTGATTCAAATAGCCTTTCTTCCAAAATGAGAACTAATTATTGCCTTTGGGCAGGGCATATTGCCATACACCTATAATTGCAGCACACTTCAGGCTGAGGCAGGAGGATCAAAAATTCAAACCCAGCCTGGACAGCTGTCTCATTTCTGAGTAACAGGATTGTGATGAGTTTCTTCTTTACACTTTTCTGTATCACTGATTTTCTGCAAAGGTTACCTATCACTTTTATAATCAGGAGAAAAAGTGTTAATTTTTTTGGTATGTTTAAAGAAGGAAGCATTGTTAAGTTTTAATTCTTCCTAAGGTTTCTAATCTTCAAAGGGCTCATGTCCAAGAGGGGACTCAAATATAAGGGACTAAAGTAAAGTCTGTAGAGTCACCCTGGAAGGTGGCCTTTCAAACTTGCCTGGAAATCATCCTTCCATCTCATGCCCAAATGCTGTAGGATGGCACAGTATAAAAACACAGAGGGCCAATGGGGACATAGCTCTGCTGAGGGAAAGGCACTGCAGGGCACTGGAGATCAGTGAGCTTTTAGCAGTACATCTGGAACTCACCAGCCAGGAAACTGCCAGCAAGTTGCCCTCTCTGAGCTCAAAAAGTATCATCTTCCCCTAGGGGCTGTGTTTACAAAGTAACCAATTCCCAGTAGGCTCAGTGAAGGGCAGCTATTCTGACTCAAACAGTCATCCTTCCAAATTTAGAACTAAGCACACTTACTATGTACTGGGCATGGTGCCACACATCTATAATCTCAGCACTCTGGAGGCTGAGGTGGGCAAATCCTGAGTTTGAGGCCAGCCAGGGTTACACTATGAGATCCTATCTCAATAAACCAAGCCAAGAAACCTACAAAACAAAACAAGCAAACAAAAACCATTTTCCTTCTAATGCTAGTGGGATCTGATGGTGTTTTATGTCGTGAGGCAATTTAATAAATACCTTAATCTGAGATCTAGAAGTTAGACTTTTATTAGACTTTTTGCTTTAATCTGCTTAAATAGTGACTCCAAATGAGAATGAAAATGATCAGTCATTTTGCATCGAGAAAGCCACCAATCAGAACAGGACAATTCAGTTCAACTGAAAAGCACTTTAACTGACAGGATTGTGTCTCTCCTGTGTCTGAAAGCATCTCCCTAAAGAGAAAGGCATCCCTGTACTTCCTAACTTACTCTCCCTAGGTGTTCTGGGAAGATGCCTAAGGCAGTACAATAACGTTTATTATCCCCAGAGCTGTCCCTTCTTCATGTGTAAGCAGCCCAAAGCTGGGAAGATCTGCAAGACGTTACTATATGAGGTGCCCTCACTGTAAATAGTCCAGGCAGATGCCAAGACAAACCTCTCTTGACACCTACACCTATTAGGAGCCTAGAATACTTAAGGGTGGCCCTGGGCTGTACTGGAACCCACGGCACTCCACATTCTGGCTTTGAGTGCCGGGTCCAAAGGCCACACAAGCTGTTAGAGGTGATCTCCCTGGTGGAAGCTGAGCCTGCAAGTGTATTCAGTCACCAGGGAAGACAAATGTAAAGGATACATCCAGCGGGCAGGATGGACTGCTGCCGAGACCTCCTGGAGGTCACTAGGCTAATAAGAAGTTCCCATGAGAAAAAGCTACTTCCAAACACTTCCGGGACGGTACATTGTGAGCAGAATTTGGAAGTGGGATGCCACTTGTGGAGTGGAAAGAAGACAGGAGCGTGGGGCAGAGGGAAGCTGCTCCGTTTCTGGAAGCCCATAGCTTGCTGCTCAGACTTCCTCTAAGAGGCAAGGAGGTAACCACTCCCGTGATTTTTGGCACTGAGAACACATCTCCTCCCCGCCAGCGGAGCTCGCGTCCAACCCTGCGCCCTGTCACTCACGCTGAGGCCTCGTAGGCCAGGTTGACAATGAAGCCATCAGCCAGGCTGAGGTTCAGGAAGTCGCTTATGCCGCGAATCTCCTCCGTGTAGGGCTGAGGCAGGAAGCTTTCCATTTCTGCCACCAGCTTTCCGATCACATCGCGGACCCACTTGGGGACTCTGTCGCTGGAAAGGAAAACACCAGAGTATGCGGCTTGCTAAGAGGATGGAGGGAACGGACTGTGTATTAAATGCTTCAGCCAGTGACGTCTGGGAGCGAAAGGCAAAGACGAAGAAGCTGAGCCCAAAAAGGCAGTAGCTGCAGACGCCAGGGACCGCAGCGGGGGCGCAAGTTGCTCCCATGGCACAAGGCAGGCGTGCACCCGGAGACCCTGACCCCGAGAGCTTGGCCATAGGGTGCGTCCTCAGAGAGCACTGCTCACCCCACGATCCGCGCTACCGCGGCGCGCAACAGGCCCGGGTCAAAGAGCCGCAGTACCGGCAGCCAGCGCGCCGCGGGCGCTGCATCCAGGCTCACGTTGACGCGCGGCGGCGCGGGGCACAAGTCCGCAGGGCACGGCGCGGCCCCAGGTGGCAGAAGCAGCAGAAGCAACAGGAGTAGCACGATCCCCGGCGACCGCATCGCTCGCCCAGCCAACAGGGGGATCACAACTCGGCCCGCAGGCGCAGGACTTAAAAGACCCGGCGAATGGGCGGGACGCGGCTGAGGCGGGGAGGGGCGGGGCCTGGGAGGGGGCGGGGCCGATGCGGGGCTGGGCGGGGCTGGCGGTAGGGGGCGGGGCCTAAACCGAGACCCGACCGAGGCTTGCACGCCCGACGCTAACAGAAAGCAGAGAAGGCGGGGTGTTGCCGAGCTGGAGGCGGAGCCCTGATCCCCACCGGAGCCCAGCCCCTCGCCCTCCTGCCCCTTGGAGAGGTAGAACTCGCCTCTCCATCCCCCGCAGCGCGGACACCACCCCGCCTCTTGACACCACAGAGGTAGCGAAGGGTTACCAGGGGCTTAACCCCTGCTGCTGGAGAGATTAAGATGTCGCGAGGGGGTGCTGGGAGAGCAATACGTAGTAGACAATAATTCATAGTCGCGCACCCCATGCCCACCTGCTTTGTTCATTTTTAAATTTTTCAAATGTTTATTAGGACTTTATAAGCGATAAAAGAGTTTTTTCTATTTAACATTCCCATTTCATCTCAGTTTTTCTTTAATAAAAGTCTAAAAAAAAAAAAGCTAGCTGACACTTCTGTACCTAACATTGTTGCCAACAGTACCTCATTTAGCCATCAAAACAAGCCAAAATACATTAATTGGTCTAGGGTTTGCTGAGGAGGAACGTGGCCCCGGAGAGGTGAAGCCTTTGGTGAACTGTCTCCATTCAAGCCAGTCTGTAAACCCCAAAGCCTGTCAGAGAAATCCACAGGGACAGAGGACAGGCTTCTGGCCCCTTAACGGGTTACGCATTAAAAACATGAGTCTCCTGGGAATATGCCTAGAAGTGGAATAGCTGGAATAAATGGGATTTCCAGTCCCAACTTTTTGAGAAATCTCCAGACAGATCTCCACAAAGGCTGTACCATGGTTTGTTTTGTGTTTTTCTCTTTTTCCTCTTAAATAAAAAAAAAAAAAAAAAAAAACATGAGTCTCCTTTTTTCTCAGCAGTAAGGAACTTAGAGACCCTCTGGTTTCAAACTCACCTTCCTAACCGCTAATCTGAAGCTTTTTTACTTTTGTGCATTCGGTGAAAACAAATGAAGTGTCCTTTTCACTACACAAAGTAAAGAAGAAATAAAATTTTAAGAAAAACAGAGGAGGGATTTAGCGACACTCTGGGAGGCCCAGGCAAAATCACAAGTTCAAGCCCAGACAGGGCAACTCGGTGACTGAGACCCAAATCTTTAAAACAAAACAAACAACAACAACAAAAAAACAAGCAAATGAAAAACAAAAACCATAGCGTGAAGAGCCTGAGTAATCCCCTATACTGCAAAAAAGCAGTTAAATAAACAAACCACTCTGAGCCCTCTCCTCTCTCTGTCGCTTCTGTACTGATCACAGATTTCAGAGATGCTATGGCTACTATCATGGCTTATCTATGGATCAGAGCTTACAGTTTAAAAAACATTTCCACCTTGTCGTGGCGGCACTTACATTCACTCTCAGCACTCAGGAAAGTGACAGGAGAACTATCATGAGTTTGAAGCTCAAGTGAGTTCAAGGCCAGCCTAAACTAAAAGTGAGACTCTTAAAAAACTGTAGACAGTGCAAGAAGAGAGTGTCAGAAATGTGTTTTTCTAAAGGCTGGCATCTTATTTTGTTCAATTTAAATACAGCATGGTAGGGGCTGGGGATTTAGCTCAGCGGCATAAGCACCTGCCATGCAAGCAGGCGGTTGTGAGTTCGATCCCCAGTACCGATAAAAATGAAAAAGACAAAAATAAATAAATACAGCATGGTAGTTTTAAAACATGTGCGTTTTTCCTTTACTCCTCCTCCCTTCAAAAGGCGGAGATTCACTCCCCCTCTGACTGCGGACTGTACTTCGCAACTCAGGTCTAATGAACAGACTACAGTTGGGTGAGGTGACTGACTGACTGCCAAAAACAAGATTCTGGCTGAAAGAGTTGCTGGCCCAGACCGGACACTTTAACCAGGAAAAGCCTCAGCCAAGTTAGGGGGCTCCTGCCTCCCCCACCCCTATAGATTTACCTGTAACCCTATACCCCCATCCCTAAGAACCTGTCCCTGGCGCCAAACGTGTGCCAATGAAATACCTGTGCATCCCTAATGCCCCTTGGGGTCCACCCCAGACAGAGGCTACTTATGGGCCTCACTCCACGTGTTCGACAGAAGAAGAAAGGGAGAGTGTGTTCCAGAGAGAGACCAGCGGCCCTGGGGTGGAGATGTTGCGCCCCGGGGCCAGAAGGGTCTCTCCCCGCATTCCCAAAATAAAGGTTACTTATATTTTATATTTCTTATCTTTGCACCCACCGCCGCCCACTCCTTCCTCTCCTTCCACGGACCTCTTTCCCTCCCTTCCCCTCTTCCTCTACTCTTCTCAGACCTAACACTGGCCTCTTCTTTTTGTCTCTTAGGTTGCTTGCTCTAGAGGAAGTCAGCTGTCACATGCTGAGAATATCTATGAAGGCTTACAAAAATGTTCTCATGTTGAAGGAACTGAAGCCTTTTGCCAAGAGCAGGAGAGGAACTGAGGCTTCTTGTCCAAAGCCACAAGAGTGAACCATCCTGGAAGAGGCTCTTTCCTGCCCCACCCAGCTGAGCTAGGCCCAATACCTCACTCAGAGAGACTGTAACCATGCTCAGTGCACTAAGCCACTACGTTGTGAATAGTTTGCTCTAAATGACTAAGAAAGATTTGGGTGACACATATGTAGAGCATTACCATACAAGCACCTAAAGTTGTACTGCTTTGGAACTGATAATGGGTAGAAGCCATAGTGGTTTTCCTTGAGCACACTATTAGTATGGCGATGGCTCAGCAGAGGATTTAAGAGATGTGAGAAAAAATGTTACTGGAAATTAGACATAAAAGGTTCAGTAGCAGAAAGCCTACAGTAATGTGGAAGGTCCTTGCTACTTATAATAAAAATCTGAGAGGAGACAGAATCTACACCACAGACTATTAGAAAGGATTCATGAGAAGTGTAGCATCCCTCTCCACAGGAACAAGCAGACCTGCATCCCTGCCAGCCATGCAAGGACATGACTGTGGTGGATTAGCTAATGATCAACTTGTAACACCTAACTGAGCTGAATCAGCTGGTGCTGGGTGTGGAGGGCCCACCTGAGGACTGCTGAAAACAACATAAAAAAGAGAACTGAAAGGGAAGATGGTGTGCTGTTGATTCTCCTGGAGAAGCTTATCAGATGATTTTCCTGATATGAACTCAGCTATTCTCATTGTCAGAGGAACTCAGGTCTTCACTGTGGCTGAGAACAGCTGTGGTTCTTTTCAGAGGAGCTCTTGTCCTACCTTCAGTGTCACTTCCTGGATCTAGTGCAGATCCCTCAGCCTGCTGGCACAGATCTTTCATCCCACTGGCACAGACTTTCTAGTTTCCACCACTGTCCTTTGAGCCTTCCCAGCACAGATCCTTAATACAGACTTACATCAGACGTTGTTGTAAGCTCTAGACCTCTAGTTGGATTCATGGAGGACACTGCCATAGGATCTAGGTCTTCAACTGGACCTGTGCAGGACATGCTGTGGGATCTAGGCCCTCAGCTAGACTCTTTGGGTTTCTAGTGTGTAGAAAGATCTCCCACATTCTTTTGCACTTGACTGTGGGTGAATATTATCAGACAATCCTATAGTGTATGTTCTGTATTAAATCTTTTCCATTGTAAACCCTGATTATAACAATGACCATCCACCAACTCTAAGCTGGCTCTTCATTTTGTTTCTCCTTGGCATAGGGCAGCAGGAGTGCTGACTAGCCTACCTACCTGATTACAGATGAAGGCAATGCCCAGGAAGAAAAAGTAAGCCTGGAGAGTTGGCAGATCCAGGGAGGAAGTACAGACCTGGTCAGGGACTTCAGTGACTCTGTATGGCCCTGCTAAAGTGTCCCATGGGTGAGAGACAATCAGGGGAGACCACTAGGGAGAGGCAGTGGGCCAGACATAGACCACCTTGAGAAGTATAAACTCCCACTTAGGAGCATAAGCCCTGCATTCCTAAGGGAGAAACCAAAACCTCCAAGTATTGATTTTAAATTCAACAGTCTGCTTGAATCCCCAGTCTATGGCCTAAATTCAGCAGAGACCACAGAGCTGATGACACTTCCTAAAGACGAGTGGTAGCAAGGATGTGCCACAGCTTGGATGGTAACCATGGTCTAGGTGAACGGACAGACAGGTCTCTGGTGCAGGCAGGGCACCTCAAAATACATAGGCGGAAAAAAACATGACTGGCCAGATCCCAAAGCTGCAGATGATGAAAAGAAACTACTCATTCAAAAACTAAAAAGGATTAGTTTTTTACTCAATCTTTTAAAATTTCTATTTTTTACTTTTCTCTTTACTTTATTAAGAGTTTGGGAGACTAAGGGTATTTGTCTTCTTCTCTCCTTTTTTTGGTATTTTTTTTTTCTCTTTTAGTTTCTGTGATAGTTCACTGATTATGTTGACTTGAATAGGAAACACCCAACTAAATTGGATCAACATAGTGCTGGGTTTGGCTGAGGGGATTTACTGAAGTTAGAAAACCCAACCTGGGTAGACTTGTTGCCTGAATGGAATAAAAGGGAAATGAAAAGGGAAGGTTTGCTTCTGTTTCTTCAGAGGAGTTTCAGTCTCCACCTTCACCTTGGATGTCATCTCTTGGCTTCCAGTGTAGACTCTTCAGCATCCAGCACATACCTTCAGCCTTCCATTGCAGATCCTTTAGCTTCCTGATATGCACTTGCAGGCTATACACTATACTGCTGACCTCCAGACCTTCAACCTTCAACTGGAGTAAAAAGTAACTAAGATAGAATTTGGTACCAGAGGAGTGGGGTCATGTGACTATACCTGGCCATGTGGTTCAAAAGCCTTTGGAAATGGCTTGTGGGCAGTTTGGAAAGGTTTGGAGATGTCACCTGAATGCATAGAACTGAACAGCTTAGGCTATTCTGTAAAGGAGACTCTGGTCAGAGCTCAGGAGACCAGAAAGTATATAGAAAGCCTACTGGTAAAGACTAGACTTGGGAGGTTTCTGCTGGGAAGAAGGACTGCATTGGTTGTTGGACTCCAGTTGATGTAAGTTATGGCTTGGCAGAAAGTTTGTCTTCATTTTGCTCATGTCAAGAGACTTTGCCAGTGACTAAGATTAAGGGAGGTTGACTGATTAATCTGGGAGAAGAAATTTCAAGGCAGTCAAATGTTAAGGGAGTGGTATGGCTATTGTTGGGGGGTTTTAGCCAGATTTATGTAGCAAATCAAGAGCAAAGAGCCCAACAGGATAATTTAAAACACTG